GTACTTAAGTGCCCAAGAATTGGATTCTGCTTCAGAACAAAGAGGACGTGATGTCCCTGTTAATGGGGCTCAAAGCTGCCATACCAACTTGGACTCTGACACAGTGTCAACAAGTTCAAGTGGAGAGACCAGGGCAGGGATTAGCCAGGGTTCACTCCTCTCACTTCCACTGCCCAGTGCAGGTGAACCAAAACGCAAGCGCAACTTCATGGATAGATGTGTTAATAAAGTGAGGTCTCTCATGAGGAAGTAAATGTAATATTTAGGTAGCCACCAATAACACTAACCAGGATAAGTAACAAGTGTTTGAGAATGTGCGACTCAAAAGTGGAAGTGACGAGTGTGAATGTATGAACTCCTTATCAGCATTTCAGTCTAAGAGATGTGGGATGTGTGTTACTGCAGCTATTAGTGAATTAACATTACTCGCCACAGAGGTGCAGTATTTTTTATGGGAAGTCATTGTATGAATGTGAAGGATACATTTAGGGTAAGTATTAAAATTGTAAAAATATAAAACGTTTATTTTTCATTTATATTCTTAATAATGTATTTTACCAAAGGTAATTTTAAATACTGACTGTAACTCTCCATCTTCAGTGTTATGTTAATTTCATACCATCGAATCTGACTTATGTCCCACAGTAACAGTGATGGGAACAATAAAATGCTGAATGAAAATTACGAATGCAACATTCAAGAACATAAAATAAATTATTCATTATAAATTTTACATCTCTATACATGGACTATTAAAATTAATATGCAAATCAACAAGAACAAAATCTGAGATGGGCGTCTTCTGGGTTGCAGTGCCGTGTAATCTGGTAAAAGTTGAATGTTTCAGAGGTCCATGCTGCCTCCATTCCTGATGACAAGCAGCAAGGACCTCCGAAATGTTAAACCTTTGCCAGATTACACGGCACTACAGCCCAGAAGACGCTCATCTTGTAACTCATTTACATGAGAATCTCAAGTCCTACTTAAAGACAAAAATATCATTTACTAATATACAAAGCATTTACATATTGTACCCATAGCTTCAATATATCTGGCAGGTGGTTTCCTACTGCTCAAAAGATTTTTCCCTTCAGTTTTGATTTGTCCTCCTCGTCCTGTTTCCTTTCCATTTCTTCCAACTGTTTCAACTCCTTCCGGACAGTAGCCAGCAGCGAATGATCAAGTTCCATCACTCGTGCGAAGTCCCCGTGAGCTTCTCTAGGATTCCATGCTCCCACGTGCGCCTTTGCCCTCCTGAACAGAGCCTTCACATTGTCTGGGGAAGAAGAAGCAACACTTCACAAATATTCCATGATAAGAAAGACTGAAATCATTTGGATGGGCTGGACGACGGGTTCCATCCTAAATGGAAACGGAGGATTTTTCCTCTAGCCTCTGTGTCCAGATCGGCTCTGGGGCCCAACCAGCCACATATTCCAGACAGCTAAATCATAATTTTTTTATAAATTTCATTCCAAACAATACTGTCACGTGTACGCTTGTCTAGCTGTGATGTCACATGAGGGCTTCAAGTGACACAAGTCAACTGCGCGCACATAAAATAGGAGCTTCAGCTTGTGCCTGAATGAAATGAAAGATTCTCGCATTGTCTCTAATGTCGTGGAACAGTGGAGAACACTCTGGAACAAGGGACGGAACCTTTAAATAGATGTGCCAGTAACCAGCAGCTCAGTTCAGAGTTGAGTCACGTGTGAGCCCAGAGAGCCAAGATTTATAAGGCGCAGCTACAAAGTTCGTATTCACATTGTGACTCTCAAGTTGAATGTGAAAGATGTTTCAGACTTCAGACGCGGAATTCGTCATCAAGCCAATAGGAAGCATCTGCTAATTTGTATAAAAGCATACTCACTCACTCTTCTAAACAAGGTAACATGGCCTGCAGATTACGCAGAATGTGTGTGGGTAAGGCACAATTGGCTCGAGATTATGCTTCGTTGTTTTAAGTGGTGAACCTTTTGGTTTTGCTACCAGGGTTGGTTAGCTGACAACATTATTCAAATTCAATTTCCTTCATTTTATTTGCTTATATTATTAATACATCTGTTACCCAAGTTGGTCACTGTTCTTCATATCAGTGAAATTATCTTGAAATTTGTAATGAATATTTGAGAAAGAAAATAATATTCCTGCTTTAGGTGTACTTGATGCCTTATGGCATGAAATAAAATAAACTAAAATAAAGCTACACACAATAAATGTTCAAATAACTTACCATTAATTTTTATTACAAAATTAAGCACATGGAAAGTGAACAGAAAACTGCTAGAGGTGACAAGGTAACGGGGAAATTAATTAAATTTTCACAGTAACAGCTACTAACACACATCCCTTGTTTAAAAGTGACACACGCACGTACTCACCAGGATCACTCTTGAGTACAGTGGAACAGTGTTCTATAACTGCGTAGTAATCCTTTTCATACAACTTGCACTGTGAAAAATTCAGAAGCAGTGGCAGCTTTTGCTTCTCCAGAGCAAACCATTCTTCCTCTCCGGGCTTTTCACTGAAAGTACATTACGAGAGTAGTGAATATGAAAATTCAATGTGGTGCCTTGCCTCAGAAAACTTAATTGACAATCACAATACATATTCCTTATGTATGTCTTTTATTTACATTATGATTTCTTATATGTCTGAGACTTAAAATCCAATGCTGACAAAAGTTTGTCGCCCAAAAGAATACAGCTGTCGTTCATTATTTATTAATTAATGTTCTTTGTTTCTTATTTGTCACACGAAGACTACTCAATTCCATGCTGACAACATACCTTAAAAACTTTTAAATTATTACACATTCTATTAGATTCTGATTCAGTGAGCAGGAAAATGCAGGTTCCTCATGTATGTCCTGTATACAAGGACAGTTCCCTAATTTTTTCTTAAGTCTTAGACTAAGTCAGTATTTATAAAAGCTGAAAATATAATGCACATCAATATAAACTGAAGAAAGTAATTTATAATTCTTGGCCATCATGCTGAAAACCTTGATATATAATTTTAACATGGAGGTTTACTTTCTTGTCGGCCTAAGAGGTTATGTTCAGATACAGTAAGTATAAGCCACGCAGTTGAACTGAGCCTTTCCTGTGACACAAATTGATGGCATACCAATTAGTAAACATTACAAATTACAAAGTGGCTTTGGTTCATTTTATTTCAAAATTCAATTATGAGATATGCCAGAAGAATGTATATTACAAGTCAGTGGCTGAAATTTGACATACATACATAACCTAGCAGCATTTACTCCCATGAAGACCAATAGTTGAATCATAACTGGTGAGCTCATAACCTACAAGCAATGGAAACTGTCACTGATTATAATGTGGGTGGTAATTCTGACAGCCTGAAGGGGTTCGTATACTTCAGTTTTAGACGGTGTGTACAGCCTTACTCGTATAACGTCAACCACCTGCAAGCTTCTCTTCACAGAGGCCTTTAAGATGTTTTGGCTGCCTTTATTGCCTTCTGGTGACTGAGGACACCAATGAATAAAGAGTATTAGTATCCTTCATGATACAAACAGATGATCTCATTGCTCAAAATGTATGATGTATTTGGTTTCCCTCTTGCACCTAAAAAGTTACCAAAGTCTGCACTAGAACAAAACATGTGTTTAGATTGAATCAAATTATTATTCTCCTTACACAAGCATGAGTTGCTCCAGCATACCAATAGCAAGGGCATACTTTCCAGAAGCAGCTTTGTAGTTTTTGTTGTAAAAGAGAGAATTTCCTTCAGCACGAAGAGCAGGAATAGCCTCCAGTTTCTCTTCTTCATTCATCTGCCACGATTCCTTCTCGTAATCTTCGGGAGCTTCAACCTTTAACAATTCTGTTATCACAGTCATCAGAAATACATAAAATAATTTATTTTGATGTAGTAAATTGAGAAGTTTAAAAGTAAAATTATTATCATGTACCTATTGTGAATACCAAATCACTAGGTTCCTTTATCAGTCGGTTTAAGTCTTCATAACCAATGCCGTCATTCTGTAATGTAACACCACAGCAGTGAGGACGACGCTGTTCTCGGGACTTTCCTGCTTCACGCAATGTTTTGGAAAGAAATGGATAACCAGATAATAACTGAAAAAAGAGATCATACTATTACATCCATTCAGTCCCTTTGCTTATGGCTTATTTTCCTGTTCAAGTATCAATTCCACAGATCTTTCCAGAAAAGGTCATCTTAGTCTGGCTGATTTCCCATCACTATAAACATGACTTAATGACAGAAATAGAAAATAAAGGGGATGAGATAAATTAACAAGAATTCCTACACACAAAGACTTATGAAAAACAAACATTTAACTACAGAAAATTATTTTTTCACTCCAATGTCTTTAAGGTATTCATTTATACCTTCCTCTAATTATACAGAGCTAAGTGCAATCATATCATAATATTTTAGAGTTCATAACAAACCAAAAACACCTCAGATACTCACACTTTTATCTACTGTAAAACTTGCTACTTCATTTAAAGCCATCATCTGAACTACTGTTTCCCAAACTTCAAACTTGAATTTTTTACCAAGTACAAGTTCCATTGGCTTTCCAAGTTTTCGGCTGTCATCTACAACTGTTTGTTCATCATCACATTTCCTTGTTTGAAAATGGAAGAAAACCTAAAAAATATTAAAAAGTCTCATTTGCTTTCACAAGAAACTTCATTTTACCATAATAAGGCGTCATAAAACAACTGTCAGAAGACGACAGCCTTCTGGAGGATATTGTGCCATGTATTGTCGTAGAAGATCGACGTTTCTGACATGCTTACTGCCTCCAACAACAGGGCGATGTGAGAGGCAGTAAGCACTTCTGAAACGTCGGCCAAATGAGCCTACACGGAGGAATATTCCAGAAGGTTGTCATTTTCATAATCGCGCAGGTGACAAAGTGATATCTTAAAAAATGTCATAAAGACACGTAGTAGGAAGGAAACTAGTGTCGCCGCCTTAGTTAAAGGATTCAGTTTATGACGTGGATCTTCGACTTGCCCATGTTATTTCCTATGGAAACCCTGCAGTAGCCTACCTTCGTTCCTGATGTGAACGTTACTGATTTAGTACCAGCGTGTAATATGTTTTTTGTAATTAAAGGGTTGCCTGATTCGTGTTCCATATTACAAACAACGTGCGCTTTCTTATCTTCACATTTTCTAGCTCCAGTGTTAAATTTTCCCTTACGATAACCGGAATTTTCCTTCCATGAATAGAATTTCTCTTGAAAATGTATTTTTTGCGCTACAAACCAAACCACGTAATAATAGCAGGCGTTTCGCAAATTACATAACCTTTCGGCCTTAGAGATAATTCCTCTTTGTAGTATTCCCTTTATTGTATCAGAACTAACTACCATTTTAAATGCAGTTTATAAATGGTAAATTCTTCAACAGGATAGAGAATTCTGTTGCGGGAAGAGGTACTTTTCATTGGTGTCTGTTTATAGTACGTTAATGTGATTGAAGTATGGCGGTGTTTAAAACTTGGAAATAATTGTATGTATGTAGATTATTATAAGGGCTTACAGCAGGACATGCCAGGAAATTTGACAGGCTCTGTTCTGTCGACGATTCAGATTGAAAAGTTAGGTGTGTATTTTACTTTCAATTTGGAATTTTTTGGAGTAATCTGTACATTAGAAAATGTTTCACGACTTAAAAGGCTGCATCCCGTAGCTAAGGGCAGATTTTGTTAAGAACCTTCGAGTTGTGTTACTAGAGGTTGGTTACTTTATTAGAGAGTTAGCCTGATGTTTGTTTATATATGCAGGGTGTCCTGTGCTGACATAATTTGCAGCCAAGTACTGACAGCTTTCTATTCAGCATTACCCAGTTCGTCATTTTACAGCTGTGCCAACATCTATTTTGTTTTATTATGTAATTTGTAACAAAGGCTAGAAGTACAAACACTGTACAACAGTGAATCCGTTATGTAGTAGTATGTGACATCATTTAGTAATTGTGTGTATTCAGAACCAGAGCAAACTGGTTCACAGTATGCTGTATGCTGGTTGAATTCAGCATCTGACTGCTATTATATTAATATTGACATTTACTGATCATACTGAGCAGTGAAGATGGGTCTAGTACACAGTCAAACACTGTGTAAGACTGGCCTATAAGTTTATATATAATGTACCCCTTTTCACAGGACATAGCCTGGAGGAGATCAGACTACGTGCTTTAAATAGTGTTGTGTCAAAACTTGAATATGGATTTGTCAGTGAGAAAGAACTTATAGCTCAGAAGAGTTTGGTTGAGAAACTGCTTAATTGGTTTAATTTTGAAACATGCCCAGAGGCAGAGAAAGTATTGAACCTCATCCTGCGGTTAATAAAGGTAAGAACAGTTTTGCTGTTTCACCTGTCTGCTCTGTGCCATCTGTCATTTGAGAGCTAAGTCAGGTCACATGATTATGAAATTTTGAGTTTATTGACTTTGATTTTAATAGGTTGAGTCTGTGTGTGAAACTGAAGTTCTAGTAGTTTACAACATCAAGAATTAGTTATATTAAATGTAATTAAATGTTATTGTTTCCCCACAAGTCTGATGTAGATGGAACACTGCACATGCTAGTAAAGACTGAGGGAAGTTGCAGAGTTCTTGATGCGATTCGTACCAAGGTGGAGCCTAGGCTTGTATGTTTGGTTGATGAAATTGTGACTGCAGTAGACAGAAATGAACTTGAACCACGTGTCACCGATCTGAAAGAAAACAGCAGACCATCAACTGGCAGGCAAGAAGCAAGCCAAAGAAGTGTCGGGACAACAGCTACCCCCGTAGATGTTCAAGTAGAGGGACAGCAAGTGTCAGAAGACCTGCATTTGAGGTGTGTAATTTGGAATAATGGGTGGAGTAGCATTTGTGTTACATATAAGAGCCTAAAACTTCTGTGTTCATCTTGTTTAGGCTTATGTTTTGTGAGGGATAACTGCTTGAAGGACAGTTTTACTGCTTACTGTTGGCATGTGTTCTGCTTGTTGGCCATTTTATTGCATTCTGGCCTTCCCACATTTCAATGAAACTTGGTGAGTTTATAGACGGGGCTTCCAGAAAAGATTTATCTCCAATGTCTTTGTAACAGAAAGTCATTGCAGTTTGAACAAAACCAAATAAAGGTAAGAAT